CGGCATTAAGTCTAAGGAAACTTACCAGTTCAGATTGGCTATCGGGGGGAAGGTTGGACCCAATGCGGACTATTTTGTCGGGCTCATCCTCGTCTAGGGGGACTGAGATGAGGTCCTCGGCCGGCTGGCCTCATCTCACTGGATCCTCCCTGAGGTCAAGCCCTTCTAGTGGTAGAGCTTCTTTATTCTTGCCCTTCAACGCTGCCACATAGCACTGACAAGCGGCGTGCTGGTTCCCATGAACAACTCCGACGATGTGTTCAGTGGGGAACTTCAACGCGAGGTGGTAGGAGGAGATGGCTTCCCGGAGTGCGTGAAGAGTTAGTCTCCCCATGATGGGGTTGTAGGGTGAGCCGATCTTCACGACCAGGAACTTTGTCATCCTTGTCACCTGCTGAGGCTCCACCCCTACTGTGACTGGTAAGGAGATCTTGCCCTTTGGTTTGACAATGTTGTTGGAGAAGCCGACTAGTGGGGTATCTACTGATTGGAGGCGCTCCGAAGCTATCTTCATTTTCTCAAAATCTTCATAGAAAAGGATGTCGGCTGAGGAGCCACTATCAACAAGGGTCTTTTTGACTACAAAGTTTGCAATGACGGCCGAGACCACCAATGCGTCGTCATGGGGGACTGCTACCCCTTCAGGTCCTCGTCCGTGAAGGAGAGGGGTTCTTGCTTCTGCTTCTTGGGGGTCGACCCCTAGATGTTCAGTTGCCTGGCATAGGCTTTGCGAGACGAGGCTGATGCTCCACCGGAGGTCATGCCTCCCACTATGACGTCGATGACGCCTACTGCTGCTGAGACGATGAGGCGCCGGCCTCGCCTCTGATGTACTGCTTGAGTTGGCCCTGACGAATGAGAGATTCTATCTCATTTTTGAGATCACAATAGTCCTCGATGTCAGGGCTGGTACCTCGGTAGAACTTGTAGTATTTTTTGGGGTTCCCCTGGTGGGGGTTCTTTTTCAACTTTTCAAGCCACTTCATAAATTTTCCTGCCCGATCTGCATCAGAATTTGTGTGCAGGTGGAGTTGAGTGGCATGTACTAATTGTAAGCCAAGGCCGAGGCTGGTGGATTCCTATTGTTGTTGTCATTGCTGCAACCCTGGTCACTGTTCTTCCTCTTCTTCTTAGGGGCTCCATCCCAGTGCTCTGTGCCTCTCACATGGGTGTCTGTAGCCAAAGCCTCTTCGACGGCAATGTATTTATAGGCCCTTTCTAGGAATTTCAGCTTCATCTTTGACTGGCTTTTGGCAACGGATAATTTGAGGGTCAAGTCGGGGAGGAGTCCACTGATGGCAGTATGCATGGAGACCAGGGGGTTGAGGTCATGGACCTCAAGTTCTTTTTTGAAGCGGTCGATGTATGACCGCAAACTCTCTCCTAGCTTCTGCTTGATAGTCATCAGCGAGACAACGCTTTTCTAAAGGCGCCGACTGCTGATATAGCGGGCAAGGAACATGCTGGAAAACTGCTCCCATGAGGTGATGGATCGATGTGGGAGGCTAGAAAACCACCGCCGAGCGGGTGCCTTGAAGGTCGCCTGGAAACTTTGACACGTCAAGGCGTCGGAGTATCCATACAGGATCATGAGTGCCCTGAAGCTTTCCAGGTGGTCGTCCGGGTTTGTGTTCCTACCGTACATCTCCAAGGCAAGAGCCTTGAAGTTCGAGGATAGAGGCTCGGCAATGATATCAGGAGAGAAGGCATCCATTCTCCCTGGGTAGTTGCTTTGTCCGAGGTGTCAGTTCAGCCTTCCTTAACCTGTCGGAGCTCGGCTTTGACAGCTTCGAGCTCAGCTCGAAGTTCGGCGAACATGGGGTCGGGCTTGGCCTGCACACCATCCCAGTCTTCACGAACACTGTGGTGCTCGGCAAGGACCTCAGAGTGCTCAGAGTTAAGACCTCGTGCTTCGCGCTTAGCATGATAGTCATTCAGGACGTCCCGGAGGTCTGAGACATGAAGCGAAGAGGCTTGACGCCGGCCCTTGGCCCTGGAATGGGCGCTGGGGTGATTGCAGCATTCGCCTTCGGCCCTCGGATTGGCCCTTTGGCGTTGGTGATGCTGCTCGGAGAGCTGTCGGCTATCCTCCAATCATTATGCTCCTCCTCCCTTCGGCTGGGAGGTCTGATGGTTCGGGAGAACGGGTCGGCTGGACGACTGCTACCCGACTCTAAGGGCTCGGTCCGTTGCGCGTGG